TACTTGGAAGTACCAAGGTAAATAAGAGGCGGAGGTTCTAGACGAAAAAGGGGATCTTCTTTGTATGAATAGAACAGAGACTCGTAGGTACCAGGTAAAACCAATATCTTAGTAGTACCGTAGTAAACAGAGTAGTTGTCAACTTAACTATGCAGAAATGTCAACGTCACAACTCGAAGGTAACTGATAGATTGGCTTAGGACTACTGACCTGTATTGTGACCTGATATAGAAGCAAACCAAAAATGCTCCAAAGTGCAGGGAAAAATGGTACTTCCTCCGTCCTAAAATTTTTGTTTTAGATTTGTCTAGATGTGGATGTATTTAATACTAAAACATGACTTGATATATCCGTATATAAACAAAAGACAAGAATTTGGGATGGAGGGAGTACGTTCAAAGGTGGCGGTGCTAACAGAAAGGATTTCAAAGGAAACATGGCTTGCCAGTACTAGAACGAAAATGATAGTATGTGTTTGACCTGCGAAAAATTAGGCGTGTGGTGGCGCGGCTGATTTGAGTTTTGCGGCGCGACAGATGGGTGCAGCAGGTGGCGGGTGGCCGGCCCGTCCTCGGACGACGGCGGCTAGGCACGGCGGGCGGCCCAGCCTCGGACGGCGGCGGCTAGGCGCGGCGGGCGGCCCAGCCTCGGACGGCGGTGTAGCTGCGGGCGCAGCGGCCGGCCTTTTCGGGCGGCGGTTGCGGACTGCGGTCGGCGGCGGCGGCCAGCTAGGCTGCGGTGGCGTGCAAACCGCCTTCAGATCGGCAGCGACAGCATGGAGGGCCTGGTGGTCTCGTCGGCGGCATCTTCGGTCAGATCTGTTCTGATCGATGTGACCAGCGGTGGTGGTCATCTCTTCCGTTAGAGGTGGTCGGCCTGAGGCTAGGTTTCCGGATCTCCGGATCCGTGATCTAGTACTGGTTGCGAGTCGGGGAGACATAATTACCGGTGCAAACCGAGCCGATGGCTGGCAAAGGCGGCGATCTACGTCGTTACCTTGATGAAGGCAACGTTGTGTGACCTATGTCGACCCATTCGTACTGTTATGGGGGAAACCCTTGGATCTGGTCTTCCAGATCGGACGATGGCGGCACTGCGGTGGCGTTTCTCTCTTGGGAGCATCGTTTGTGGAGTAGTGCTGGTGGTCAGAGGCAGGAGGTGGAGTGGCTTCGTCTAGCACGGAGCTTCTGTGGAGATGTCAAGTCATGCCTGACCGATAGGTGCTACGCTTTGTCATGCCTGGTGGGCAGGTGCTACGCACGACAAATCTTTCGGAATGGTGCTTGGCTGGTGGTACTTGGCGGCGTGGTGTTGACGTGTACCGGCGGTGACTGTGACGTGCTCAGTAGTTCGCGCGCAGGATGGTGGCGTCGTTGGGCGCTGTGTTGGCGTTGACGGCAGCTAGACCGGACACGAATGATGCATAGTACAGATCTGAAGATGGAGTGGTGGCAGTTGGTTGCGGCGGCATCTGAGAGCGTGCCGGACCGGTGTGTGCCCATACCCGGCAAGTGACTTTGGTTGGGGCCTCAGGTCTTAGATGTTAGGCTTGTCTGTGAGGTCTGTGGTATTAGGCCCGGACTATCAGCATCCCTTCATCAGCTGGATAGGAGTAGCGGCATTTGTCGCATAGACGGTGGCTTCAGACTTATTGTTGTATTTCTTTGTAAGGTCTTTGGTAAATAATTAATAAAATGGCTGCATGCATCGTTCAGATGCAGAGGCTGGGGGTGATCCTCCTTTTCTAAAAAAATGTAGAGTGGCTAAGGTGGATTTTTCTCTTTTCTTAGGATCTTGTTTTGGAATTCAAACCAAACTACATTTGCTTGTGTCCCTCTTGTTAGTACGGTTGTCCTACACCCATTGTAACTTCAGATTAATCAAAAGCCTATAAGTTTTAGTCTAAAAGCTTGAGGTAGACACCATCTTGAAAAGTTGGAGGGGCCAAAATATAAGAGGGGGCCAACTTCATATAAAAATACACAATATGCATGAAAAACCCACACTAATATCCCCTCAAAAAAAGTTGTGCTGCGTAGCCTTGACTTGATAATCTTCAAGCTCGAGAAAACACGCTGAGTTGTTAATGGAGAAAGCATGCCCAGTTGATAGTCTTTCATTCATACATGGCACCAGTGCTAGAGCAACGGGAGCTGAAGCATGATCAGGTCGTCAACGCCAGACGGGGAGGCAGGGAGGCAGGGAGGGTGCCAGGGTGGGGATCGGGGAACGAGAGCTGAAGTGGACGTGCTGATTCACAGACGAGACGAGAGGAG